TTATTTGAAAGTCAACCTCCCACCCAGCGATGGGAAGCATTTACCCATTGATGGGTAGGTAACCGTTGGCTTCAAAACTGAAGGAAAATTGGCTTACCAGCGATGGGTAAGTCCTAAACATCGATGGGAAGCCAATATTCTGCAGATCCCAAATCTTTTCAATCCCATTAATCAAGCTAATCACCCCTTTAATGCATTGGTCTGTTGGAGCCTTTTTTGGCACTATAAAAAGGGGTGTTTGGGTCTGCTTTACAAAAAAATTCACTTCACATTACACATATTATCTTTGCATCCAAATCACATTGTTTTCCATAGCTTTCTAGAGCCAATTTGTGTGAAGTTTGAGTTGTTCTTGAGCGTATATATTTTACTCATATCCACTCTTAAGGAGAGTCTTGTTCTTGAGTGTCTTAGTGTTGTATACACGTTAAGGGAAGCTTGTTTCCCTTGGTTGTACGAAGGAAAGGTATTTTCCTTCGGGTTGAAGTCTTGGAGTGCGGTATCTCCGAGCAAGGTTGTTGAGGCTCGTGGGACTCGAGTTCTCAGGTTGTAACGGTTTGTTAAGCACCCGTAAGCTTAACGGAAGTAGTGTAGCTCGAGAGAGTCTCTCGGGAGACTGGATTAGCCACACGTTGTGGTGAACCAGTATAAATCTTGGTGTGCTCCCTTTACGCTTTCTACGCTCTTTACTTTTCACGTTCTTAATTTTTTTATTCCTGCGATTTCTACGATCAAACGCTATTCACCCCCCCTCTAGCGTTGGTCACTTATTCTAACAGGGAGAGGGGATTGCCTTGTTTTACTCCTCTTGACATGGCAAAGAAACCTTGGGGTTCCCCATTGATGAGGATACTAATGAAAGTGCTGCGTAGGTTTGCCATTAGGAGGTTGATGGCAGCCTGGGAGAAACCAAAAGCTCTAAGAATGCCCTCAAGAAAGTTCCAATTCATACTGTCAAATGCTTTTGCCATATCGATTTTTATAATAAGATTACCCCCAAAAACCTTTCTATCAAGTCCATGAATGGCCTTTTGAGCTAGGAGAATATGGTCGTCAATAGATTTACCTTTCTGGAAAGCCCCTTGTTCTGGTGAGTTGATTTTAGGGAGCAACTTCTTAAGCCTGTTGGCAAGAAGTTTAGTATTAATTTTTCTGATTAAAGTTGAGAGGGAGATGGGCCTATAATCATCCAGCCGTTTAGGATCTTCTTTTTTAGGAATCAAAGTGATTATGGTACTGCCGTACCCTTTGGGGATTGGGAGGCCAAGAAAGAATTCCTGAGAGGTAGTGAGGACATCATGTTGGATTAAATCCCAGCAAGTGCGAAAGAAGGTTCCATTAAACCCATCCAGGCTACTGGCACTATTAGGATCCAAATCCCAAACTGTTTCCTTTACTTCAGCCAAGCTTGGAAGGGCAGTGAGCATGAGGTTGTCTTCAGTGGAGATGAGGGAGAAGATGTAGGGGAGAATATTTTCCAGATTTGGGTTGGGGGTTTCTGGAGCTTGGAATTGGTTTTGGAAATGTCTGATGGCTTCTTGCTTGATCTCATCCATGTTATGGAGCCCCTTACCATTTCCATCAATTATGTGAGAAATTTGAAGCTTCTTCCTTTTCCCTTTAGCAAAAGCTTGGAAGAGCTTGGTGTTAGAGTCTCCCTTATCCAGCCATCTAATATGAGCCTTTTGCTTCCAATATTCAACTTCCATGTTGGTTGCAAGAATAAGTGCAACATTGTCCCTTTGAGCAGCAATTCTATTTACATCATTTGGAACATCCTCAAAAGCTTTTTGGCTTTGGATAGCTTTTGCTTCAGCTTCCTTAAGTTTAGAATGGATGTTCCCGAAGGTCTCTTTGTTCCATTTCTTCAGTGTGTGTTTCACGGTTTGGAGCTTGTGAAGGAGACCTCTCATACCTCCAATGGTAGGGCAGGTTGTCTAAGCTTGTTTGACAGTATTGAGGAAGCCCTCGTGAAGGGTCCAGGTGTTCAAAAATCTGAAGGGTTTGATAGTATTGGGAATCTGGTCGTTACAATGGAGGAGAATGGGTTTGTGGCCTGAATTGCATTTGTCCAGGTGATGAAGTTCCACATCTTGGAAGAGAGCAAGCAGTTCCAAGTTAATCAACATTCTGTCAAGCCTACGCCTTGTTCTCCCTTGGGAACGAACTCCTGACCATGTGTAAATACTGCCATGAGGATCAAGGTTGATGAGTTTACAGTGAAGGACGCAGGAGTTGAAGTCCTCCATACTAGAGGGGTTTGGACCGCAAGTGCCTTTGGATTAATGAGGGGAGGTAATGGCGTTAAAATCGCCTCCTACAATCCAGCGATTATTAGAGGGACAGAGAGAACAAAGTTGATTCCAAAGTTCCTTCCTGGCCATGACTGTATGGGCTCCATAAATTGCAGAGATCAAAATAGGGGAGTTATCCATTTGAAGGGTGAAAATGCAGTTGGTTACTTGAGTTGAGTCAGTAAAGGAGCTGAGTTTAAAACATGACTCATTCCAGAAGAGCCATTTTTTATTATTATGGGATCCAAGACAGTGGGAGAAGTTGAGTTTAATATGGAAGGATTCCAGTTGAGAGGGGTTAACCATAGGTTCCAGAATGCAAAGATAGTCCAAGTTGTGTGCACTCCTTAAGGAAATAAGTCTGCTGAGAGAGGAGGCAGCCCCACAGACATTCCAGAAGAGGAGTTTCATAAAAGAAACTTGGGAGCGCGTACATCCTTAGAAGTCTTGCTTCGAGTCATCACCGATGATGGTGGAATGTCTTTTTTGACTCTACGGTGCTTAGGGAACGGAATAGATTGCTTTGAACATCTACTAACGTCCAAATGAAAAGGGGTAGGGGGGATGTGATGAAAGGTGTATCACCTTCTCCTCCATCAGAGTGGCAAACAAATGGGACAGGTTCCTCCAAAATGGAGTCATTGTCAGACTTGGTTTCCCAGGTAGTTTGAAGTTGAGCATTGATCCAACAGTCATCTTTGCTACCCGATCTAGGAAGTTCACTGTTTGGAGGTGGGAAGACTCCCCGTGAGTAAGAGTCCTCCTGGAATGGGTTAAAAGGAATAATGTCCATGCAAGTTTGAGGTTTGTGGACTTGGAGGAATGAGAGGTCATGAAGAGGGTCTGCATGAACGGGATGGTGGTAAGGCTTGCTGAAATGGGGCTTATTATTGGTGCGAGGGGTAAGAGAGGTATCATCTTCAGTAACATCTTCCACCGTAGGCATCAGGTCCTCCCAATTAACCTGTTTGGCTGTATGGTTGATTGAGGGTTCACCAACTTGGACCTGAGAATTTGAAAATGTGGGGATTTCCTCTGGTCTCCTACGCAGGTTTCCTTTGTCCAGACCCTGTTGGAGTAGTGGTTTGTATCTGAAAGGCCCATTCATGGCAGTATGATTGGTGTAAGGGCCCACCAAGTTTGCTTTCCCAGACTTGCTGTGTCGTTTGTTAGAGACCATTTTCCAATCATTGTGAATATTCATGGGTGCATCCGCTCCAAGCTGGCCCACCTCCTTGAACGGAGCATTTGCAGGGAGGTTTTCCGGTAACTGTTTCTGGCAAGCTTGAGTATTATGGCCAAATCTGCGACATACATTGCAGTAGAGGGGGGGATTTTCAAATTTACATGGTAGCCAACGATCTTTAGCTCCCAATCTGAGATGGATATGAGGAGGGAAGGGGATGGATAAGTCCCTTTCCACACAAACCCTAATCCGATCAGGTTTAACCCCAATGACAGAGTTTGCATCCAATTTGATTGGCTTCCCAAGGGCAGAGGCTACTGAGAAGATAGCTTTGTGATCATTGAGGTGAATGGGGAAATTCCCCAATTCGACCCAGATTGGGAAGTAGGGTGAGTCCACTGTTGGCTCATGCTCCGGCGTCCATTTACAAAAAGTGATGATGCATCCATTGATGGTCCACCTCCGTCTTGAAAACCAGCGAAGATAATCATCTTCATGTTTAAAGATAAAGAGAAGTTCATTGGATTGAAGACGTCGTAGTTTGAACTCCTTGAACCTGCCCTTGATCAAGAAATCTTCAATCTCATTAAGATGAATTCTGCGGCTGGATCTTCCTACCAGCGTCCAGGAGAAATTCGCGGCCAGCTTTCTCTCCTCCTCAGCCGTAAAGGAGATTGAGGGAGAATTTTTGTAGAAGCCATTGACTGTGCCCGGTATCTCATCCTAGCCTCCATTAAAGAGGTCGGAAAAAAGTGTACGCCGCGGGAGTAATATGACAGATTTAAGGTTTTTCGACGAGTTGCCGGTGGCCGGAAACCTGGAGAGAGAAGCCATCCAAAAAAAGAGGCATATATATATATATATATATATATATATATATATATATATATATATATATATATATATATATATATATATGNACAACACACAACACTGCCAATGGAAAGCTCACCAACTGCCAATGCAAAGCTCACCAACTACCAATGCAAAGCTCACCAACTGTCAATGCAAAGCTCACCACTTTTTTTAAATAAAAAAAGTTAAAAAAATAACACCACCACTCAACCACCACTCAACCACCGCTCAACCACCGGTCCACGGCAATAGTGGGGGTCATCGGTGGTGGCCATTGGTCATGGGCGGTCAAAGTGTAAAGCTCACCAACTATCAATGCAAAGCTCACCAACTGCCAATGGAAAGCTCACCAAGGAACAATGCAAAGCTCACCACTTTTTTTTTTAAAAAAAAGCTAATAAAGCAAAGCTCACCACACTACACTACAAAGCTCACCAATGGACAATGCAAAGCTCACCTGGAATTCTGGAAATAAAGCAAAGCTCACCACTTTGAACCCAAAAACTCACTTTTTTTTTAAATTTAAAAAATTAAAAATAAAATAACAACACCGGTCAACCACTGGTCAAGGGCGACAGAGCAGCAGTGGCGGCCGGAGCCCGGTGGCGGCGGGCGCTGTGACCGGATTCCGGCGACCGGCGGCGGCGACTGGCGACCGGCGGCGGCAGCAGCGAACGGCGACCGGCGGCGGTGACCGGTTTCCGGCGACTGGCAGCGGTGGTGACCGGTTTCCGGCGACCGGAGACGGCGGCGCCCGGCGACGGCGACCGGCGGACGGCGGCGGCGACTGGCGGACGGCGGCGGCGGCTTCGACCTGCGGCGGCAGTGACCGGATTCCGGCGACCGGATTCCGGCGGCAGGCGGCGGTCAATGCAGTCAAAGTCCAGTCATCACCCTTTCCTTTGATTTTTTTTGGGAAAAAAATTCAAAGTTTTGAAAAATATGGTGAGCTTTGCCTTACACTTTGGTGAGCTTTGTAGTTGTCTTTGGTGAGCTTGCAGTGACCAGTGGTGAGCTTTGTGTCATCTGACCGAAGCATGTCATCTCACCGTAAGGTGTCATCTCACTGGAGTCAATCCCATATATATATATATATATATATATATATATATATAGACACACACACACACACACACATATATATATACATATATATACATACATACATATATATATACATAGATACATACATACATACATATACATATACATATATATATATACATATATATATATATATATACATACATATATATATACATATATGTATACATATATATACATATATGTATGTATGTATGTATATATATATATGTATATATATATAAATATGTGTATATATATATATATATATATATTTAAACATATTTTTATTAATAGGAGAAAGAGAAGAGATACAAGACAGATTGAGTACTGCCCCCAGCACACTAGTTTGGGGTACAATTCCAATCGAACATGGATGTTAAAGTAAATGTAAAGAGAAAGTAGCCAAAACATGTAGGCCAAAATGCAAAAATGTATAGAGCATGTGAAAGGTGCTGGACGTCCTAGAGGAGACAAACGCTAACAGCCAAAAAAACAAATACAGCATGCATTCCATATTTCCATAGCTAGACAGTTTCATTTGCTACCTTCCAAATCGCATCCAAGAAAAGCTTCATGAAACAAGTGTAAGATGCTGGATAGGGTCCGTTGCATCTATTACAATCTCATTCCAATCAAGAAGTTGGAGATGCTGGGATTGAAGAAAATCCTGAATACCCTTCAATACTATTGTTGAAGGCTTAGATGAACCAAAAAACTCATATCGAATCCCAACCAAAACAAGAATTAGATATTGACAACCACTAGAAAAGAGCTAAATGCCATAGGCACGGGCATACCCAAAACATCAAGAAATGTTATAGGCCATATCCAAACTACAAGGAAATGAGAAAATAATCAACTGATATCAACCGAGCTCGATATGNCAAACCTTTCTCTTGAGTTAAGCTTGATTTGAGATTGGATAGCCTCTTGCTCCTTCTTGGTTTGGGGGAGTCCTTGAATTGTGAGCATAGATGTTCAAATTTCCTCTGATTTCTCTTCATACTAGCTTCTTTTCTAGCATGCCAATCCAGGTCATCCTCTGATCCTCTATCTGTCACCCACTCGTCTTCTGATGCATCTAAAAGGGGGTTATAAGATTTACTCATAACCTGCCTATCTGATCCTAAGTTGTAACTCAAATTTTTGCTCCACTCAGAGTTTTCCAAGTCATTATCTAAATTGGAACAGCCTAGAAAGTGAGGTAGTTTAGAGGTTATGACCTTCTGCTGAGCGCAATCCTTTGCTCGATGAAAGGTTGTGCTATTGGAGAAAGAGAGGTAAGGGGGATATGAACTGAAGGAGCTGGGTGTGCAGCCGCTAGCTGTTTTGGTTCTTCATGAGAGATGAGCGCGGTAGGAGTGGTATGAGAGAACTGAGTAGGTGCCTGTGCAAAGTACCCTGGGATATCTAAACTGAGAAGGTGGGAGGAAATTGAAGAGGATGAAAGGAGTGGAGGGTCGGGGGTAGTCAAACACACAACGGCTCTGTCCAAAAATGGAGGTGGAGGAGGAATTGAGAGTTTTAGTGAGTCAAAGGCGTTTCTGAAGAAGGAGGTGAAAGAGGTTAGGCCATTCCCTTGGTTCCCTTCAGGAATGCAGATCCAGACCTTGCCATCTTGGTGATGTTCACAAAGTTTGAGGTGGTTGCTGTTTCTAGAGGGTAGGAAAGTTAGAGAGATCCGTCTGTTTTCCTCCATTCGTAGATTCGAACGCAGATATCCCTTTTTGGTGAAAGTTTGGAGACTATTAAGGAGCCAAACACAAAGGTCGAACCCTAACCATATATTCAGCTTCCTTTTCCTTTGAATTTCTGTAATACAAAGCTTCCTATTGAATTTTGAAGGCGTAAAGATGAAAATCTTACCTTTAATTCGAAGTTTTTGAGGTCTAACAATTGCTTCTAAATGACAGACACCTTTTCCTCTCGTCAAGACTTCCTCTCTCGAATCTTGGGCAACAACAGAGTGTGTGAGTGGTGGAAAACCCTTTAGGGCATCAGCATAGCTTTGGGATGCATAGGTGAAGACCTTTGCTGCTTGGGAGATGGGACGAGTCTCAGTTCTCGCTGGATTTTTTGAGGTGGAAGCTATATATCCATTGATAGGATTAGTGAATATCGGAGGAGATGAAGAGGGATGAGAGTATGAAACGACATTTCCTAGGCCTAAGGAGACTGCTGGAAAAGGAGTTCCGATCTGGATTGCCGGCTGAAGAAAGCTCTCGCCTCTCTCTACAAATCTTGCCATATATATATATATATATATATATATATATATATATATATATATTTATATATATATATATTTATATTTATATTTATATATTAAAGAGAAGGGTTTTTATTCATGCAAAAGAGTCAAGTACAAGGGGAAAGAACTACCCAAAACTGGTAGAAGAGAAGGAAAAAGGAAAAAGCAACGTATGGGACGCAGCCCAAATGCGGAGGAGACGTAGCCCCTAACAAGAAAGCAAAGTGAAATAGCCTTAGTTGCGACGTCGGCCTCGCTTGCCTCGTTCTCGGCCTCGTTGGGAGTATTGACCCCTACAATAGAGTTGTCCACTTCTTGTTTGAATCGTTAGTTCTGGAGGAGAGTTTTGTTTTTTGCTTTTGACCAGGGTGAAGTCCTCTTCATACTGATATTCTTCAAAATCAAATTCTTGTTCTGTTTGGTTCCCTGTCTCCTCATTATCCTGGCTTACGTCAAATGTGTCATTTGCAACAAACTCTTGGGGTTCTTCATCTTTAGAACCTGCTGAAGTTGCATCTTTAGTAACCTCCAAAGGTTTTGCCATTGATTCAAAGTCATCCTGTTCCTTGACCTCGATGATGAATAATTGACCATCAACCTTGATGATAGTTTCCTTGTAGGTATGTCTGGTTGCTGTTTTCGCCTCAATCGCAGTCACAGGGTCAAGTGATATTTTAGCTGCCTTATTGGGAGTAGAACACCCATTCTGGATTTCAATTGCATCAGCTACCATAGTAACTGCATCTTTGATCTCAACGATTTCATGTTGAGTCCTAACTTTAGTCTCTTCCACCTCTAACTGGGCAGTAGGCTGTATTGAACTTGATCCCTCATGACTTGGAGTCTTTTCAATGGTGGCAAATCGGTTCTTGGAGCTTTGGACAGATGTGTCATGGCCTCTAGTTGTTGGTGTGGTGCCTCCTACCGCTGACCCACACCCTGCCATATCCTCTTTGGCTATTTCCTGTTGTTCAAGGGGTGTCACCAGTACATCTTCATCAGCTTTAGAATTTTGGACAGTAGTATTTGTGTCCTTCACAATGGGACGTCCTATGTCCCTGCTTGATTTCGGATCCTTGTTATTGGCTTTGGTTGAGGTTGCAACATCTTTCTTAGGAAAAACATCATCTGCAGTGTTGCATTTTCCGGCAATGTGCCCTGATTTTTGGCAATCCCTACAATACTTTGGGATGTCCTCGTAGCTCACTGGTTGGAAGAAACCATGGCCTCCATTATCAATCCATATCTTCTTTGGTTGTTCTTGTGTAATATCCATTTCAACACAAAAACGAGCCACAGACGGTCTGATTTTTGCAGAAGTAGAGGAGTCCATCATAATCGGGTTACCCAGGCATTTTGCAATACTGTAAAGAGCCCTAGCCTCTTGAAGATGGACAGGAAGATGAGGTAAAGAAGTCCATATCAGAAAGATGGGACTCTCAATGTCCACATGAAAAACAGGGCTCCATTTGGACACAATCATCGATGACCCATTGATTTTCCAAACCCCTTTAGAGAAACAACGTTGATAATCAACTGGGCATTTGAAATTCAAAAACAAAATTGATTGAGAAAGCAGACCAATTTTAATATTCACTTTGAAACCAATTCTTTCCAAGCAGGAGCGGATGATATGGAGAGGGGGTCTAGATTTGTTGAAACGACCAACCAAGGCGTATTCATAAGGGGCAGAGAGTGATTTTACCTCATTTGGGGTGAAGGAAATCGCTGGAAATCCTTTGAATTTTTCGATCTGCTTGGATGGAAACATTTCCGGTTGATTCGCAGATCCCAAAACTTCAAGGAAGCTTTTCTTGATATCTTCTCCAAGGTGAGACGCCATAGATGCCTGCGTTCTTGATAAGTTCTCCGAAGTGGTGGCCATCAGATTGTTTGTCAGAGACGCTGGCGTTCAACGCCATTGTCGCCGAAGTTGAAGAGAGAGGAAATTGTCCATTATTCATATATATATATATATGTGTGTGTGTGTGTGTGTGTGTGTGTGTGTGTGTGTGTAACACCCGCCTTCCGCGGACCCCGTTCACCCGTGACCCAACGGACCGAAAGGGTTACATGGGCGGTCCAAGAACCGTCCGTTACAAAAACATTAATGATTATTTAATAAGAAAACGGTTACGTTTGATTAATGGGATATTAATGACTATTTATTATGGAAACGTTTATGTTTAATTGGTGTAATAAATGCTAGAAGTTATATCCAAAACGTGAGAGATATAAATGCAGAGTAAAAGCGGAAGTAAATAAGTAAAACGACAAATGGTGGGTTCATGCCCAAATAATTAATTAATTAAATGTATTTAATTATTGAACTTGTCCATGCGCCGCCCATCTTCCCACCATCACTGTCCTCCAGGGTTAGCACCCGTACCGTCATGTCTACTTGCGTGTAGCAAAAACAACTACGCGCTCAGCATAAGCTGAGGAGTGAATCTAACAAAAGAACATAAAGTGATAACCCATATAGCTATACACATATTAATACTTGTACTTAACGTACGGAAAAAAACCACATGGTTACTAACTGATTACTTTGCACTTGATGAGATATTTTACACATAACAAAATGAATAACAACCACATTGAATGATGGTGTGATGTGGAACATACATGATGATGACGACCACCTTGAATGTTGATGTGACATGAAACATACGTGATGACAATATGACTTGATGCATGACTTATGATATTAGGGACACCCCTGAGTTAGTCTAACTTGACAGGATCACCCCTGCACTCCGGTAATGCCCCGGGCTCGACAAAACGTCGCAAGTGAACTAGCAAAAACCGGGTGGTAGCCGTAGCCTGACTACCATGTACGTACACAAAGCCCACCTGATGAAAACCCGTTGCATCCCGAGGGTTCCTGGACGGGCCCACTGTAGTAGGCGCACGGAAGCCTGACCTCCCTACAGCGGTATGCACATGATGATGAAAACCTAGGACATGCGTCTAGAATGAACATGATGAATGCTTGATGTATTTACTTTTGGTCAACGCCATGAATATATCAAATAAATAACATACATAATGAAGATTAACATTTCGTGCAAACATACAATCAGATTCTGAGTCAATATGGTCTACGGGGATCGTTCTACAACTACCTGGAATTCTGCCCGCGGAACGGTCGACCGTACCCTACCGGCGGTCGACCGTGGGCTATGGTTTGGGGTCTGGGTCACAGACGGTCCACCGGGGTCTTCCGTCATGGATGACGGTTGACCGTCCCGGTGGTGACCGTTGGACTGGCCGAGGGTACGGTCCACCGTCTGAAGTAACGGTCGACCGTCCCGGTGACAGTCTCTTGTCCTTGGCTACGTTTTGATCCATTTTGCAACCTTAACACCTTGATTCTTTTTACTTGTTATTATGTTTGTAACTACTTATATAAGGATCACTAAGGATCCGGTTATAAATATTCAAAATGCATCACTTGCAAAACTACCGATTGGATGTTTGTACGTATCTAAGATGCATCCAACGCATGCTATAACGATACTTATAAACGACATAGATTATAACTAAATGTTCTAGAATTAGAGGGGACAACTACTCACCTCTAAATGATGGGGTTGATGAAACGGAAACGAGATGAACGTTTGACAATGAACGGGCGAGTGTATGAACGAACGAACGAACGGCTTCTTGCGTGAACCTCTCCTCTTGTACCTCCTTGTACACTCTCCGGAATTCCCCCTTGTCTACCTGCTGCTGGTTGGCCGAGAATGCAAGCGAAGGAGGATGAGGGTTGTGTGTGTGTGGGAGTTACAAATGTGGTGGAAAATGAAGAGGGGAAGGAGGAATATATTGAAAGGGAATTAAAGGGAGTTTAATAGGAAATAATTGAAATGAAATGATGGGGTTTAAGGGGGATGGAAGTGGCGTGGGAAATGAAGAGTTAAGTGGGGAATTAATTCCCTAAATTCTACTCCGTTATGTAAAATCTGACCTGAACGGTACGCCGTTTTCCCCTCGAACGGGTCCGAATTGAAAATCGTTTACGTTTTTGGAATCAGACAGTCAAAACAAATTTAATGACGTGTTCAAATAATATTTCTAAGAACTTTTATTTTCCCCAACTCTGAACCGGAACAGTAATTAACTAATTAAAACAACCAATTCTAATAGACCGGGTTGTAGGGCGTTACAATTATCCACCCCTTAAGAAAAATTTCGTCCTCGAAATTTACCTAGTCATTGATCACCATGATTACGTCATGTGCGAACTACTCAGTGCGTCCGCGCTTTGCGTTTGTGCGAGCTGAAGCCTCTTCAGACTGAGCGCTCAGCGTCGGCATATTGGGCTAGCTGGACACTGCTAGCGATCTTTGGCTCTGAGTGGGCTGGGCGGCTGGGGCTCGAGCTTCGGGTGCTGTCGTAAACGCCTCGCCAGGGTTCGTCGGGCAGTCCCTACGGAAATGCCCGGCCTGACCACATCCTAGGCATAAGCCCTGAGTAAACCAACATTTTCCGGGGTGCCTTCGACCGCAATGGGTGCAGATCGAGTAGCGGTACCCGCTCTGACTCGGGTCCTTCCCGCTCTCCTATGTAGGCACTGGTGACGGGGCATGTGTTGACTTGGTCTTCTTCCTTGTGTGCGAGCTGCTTGGCACGGATGAAGACCTCTTGCTGCTAGAGCTAGGTGAAGGTGAACGAGGATGCGTCGTCTGGGCCTGCTCGTACTCGGCCTTGTTGATGAGGGCTGCATTCATGTCCAACGTATGCTCTGGGGCCTGCTGGGGTGTGAAGCTCGACGCTTCCGTGTGCATGCTCACGTGCTCAGGCTCCCCATGTGGGACAGCCTGTCCATCGTTGTGATAAGTCCGTTTTGTACTTATCTTTTTACTCATATTTAATTTGTTCTTGTACCATTTTTATTATCAAAATAATAAATTATTTATTCTTTTTTATCAAAAACATATGTTTTGATGAATTGATCATAAAAAGAATGTCTTTAAAATAATATATAAAATTGGGCCAAGAATAGAGTAAAAAGAGTAAATTTTAATAGAAAAATAACTCTATCTCACAAACGGTGCGGAATTAGAAGACGGTGCAGAAGGAAAAAGTGTTCAGAACGAGATTTTTAGCAGGATAGCATCGACGGACCAGGGCGGCACAGTAGGCGGCCTGGCCGGCGGCAGCCTACTTGGCCACCAGTCAGGATGGCGGCGGCGGTGAGAAACAAAACTGGCAGCGAAGGAGAGCGCCGGCGGGCTGACAGGCGGCCGCCTGTCTGCCCGCCTGTCGACGGCGACCAGCGAATCCGGCAGATTCTGGAAAAATCTTCAGCGGCGCCGGCGGGTTGGCCGGCGACCGCCGGTCTGCCTGCCTAGTTGTCTTCTCCATCCTATAAAACCCCTGCGGCTTCCTTCCTCTCACCAAGCGATTCTCTTCGGTTTTTCCCCCTTTTGGGGTAAAAAATTCTTCCCATTTTAATTCAGATATTGTACTAAATTTGAGTGGTTTTAATTTCATGAATCCAAATTAATTTTCAAGTCTTTGAAGCACTGTAAGTTTTACTCTACTTTTATTGTAATCTTTATTGAATTTTTTATCAATAAAATTTTACTTTGTTGATGATTGATATGTGTTTGAAGATTTTAAATGTATTATGATGATGATGAATGTTTTGTTTGAAATTATGAATTGGTAATTTAAAAATGGGTTAGGATTCGAAATTAAGATTTAATCAATTTAATTTCATCTATTTATTAGTAATTGGATTAATTGTTAGAAAATGAATTAAACTTTATTAATTAATAAAATTGTTTTTATTATTAATTAATCCTTGGAAATTAATCTTTTACTTTGTCTATGAAGTAAAAAGATTAGTTAAGCCACACGTTCCGAACACCTAGAAATAGACAGTGTTAGAAATAACCGTTTGGAATGGTTTAAACTAATTAATAATGTTAAACATTTTATTAATTAAGTAATTGGAAAATAGTTCTTGCCTTGTCTATGAGGATTTAGAATTATTTAAGCCAAACATTTTCTAGCACAGTACTGAGACCTGAAAAATGGAGATGTACTAGAAATATAATAGTCTTATAATTAATATTGAGACCTAGAAATAGGAGATATATTAAATAAAAATGCTACAAATTTCATTAGTCGAATTGTTAATAAAAGATGAGTTAAATTGTGTTAAGTCTGCATTCCGATCTTAACTCCTCAAGTTATTTTATCATTTACTTTAGACGCTTTATTTCTTATTATTTCACGTTTCTTAAACTATAAATTTACCTGTGATAAATAATAAAACTAACTATTCCCTTCGTCACTCCTGGAGAGAACGACCCGAGTCTAACTCGGTTATTTGTTGACTTACTGCTATATTCTAGCTCCGTCACGTTACCTGCTGCTTGACTCATTCTCTATGGGAATAGCTTAAATTAGAACTAATGACAATATGACATACATGTGAATAAAATAACGGTGTACCTTTCCCTGGAAGTGATGTGATGGGAGATGCGGCTGTGGACTTTTGAAAAGACTCTTTGAACAAGATGACAAATTTTTTTTTTTTCACAAAACCGAACTGCTCTGATACCAAATTGTAACACCCGCCTTCCGCAGACCCGGTTCACCCGCGACTTAACGGACCGGTAGGGTTACATGGGCGGTCCAAGAACCGTCCGTTACAAAAACATTAATGATTATTTAATAAGAAAACGGTTACGTTTGATTAATGGGATATTAATGACTATTTATTATGAAAACGTTTATGTTTAATTGGTGTAATAAATGCTAGAAGTTATATCCAAAACGTGAGAGATATAAATGTAGAGTAAAAGCGGAAGTAAATAAGTAAAACGACAAATGGTGGGTTCATGCCCAAATAATTAATTAATTAAATGTATTTAATTATTGAACTTGTCCATGCGTCGCCCATCTTCCCACAATCACTGTCCTCCAGGGTTAGCACCCGTACCGTCATGTCTACCTGCGTGTAGCAAAAACAACTACACGCTCAGCATAAGCTGAGGAGTGAATCTAACAAAAGAACATAAAGTGATAACCCATATAGCTATACACATATTAATACCTGTACTTAACGTACGGAAAAAAACCACATGGTAACTAACTGATTAATTTGAACTGGATGAGATATTTTACACATAACAAAATGAATAACAACCACATTGAATGATGGTGTGATCTGGAACATACATGATGATGACGACCACCTTGAATGTTGATATGACATGAAACATACGTGATGACAATATGACTTGATGCATGACTTATGATATTAGGGACACCCCTGACATAGTCTCACTTGACAGGATCACCCCTGCACTCCGGTAATGCCCCGGGCTCGACAAAACGTCGCAAGTGAACTAGCAAAAACCGGGTGGTAGCCGTAGCCTGACTACCATGTACGTACACAAAGCCCACCTGATGAAAACCCGTTGGATCCCGAGGGTTCCTGGACGGGCCCACTGTAGTAGGCGCACGGAAGCCTGACCTCCCTACAGCGGTATGCACATGATGATGAAAACCTAGGACATGCGTCTAGAATGAACATGATGAATGCTTGATGTATTTACTTTTGGTCAACGCCATGAATATATCAAATAAATAACATACATAATGAAGATTAACATTTCTTGCAAACATACAATCAGATTCTGAGTCAATATGGTCTACGGGGATCGTTCTACAACTACCTGGAATTCTGCCCGCGGAACGGTCGACCGTACCCTACCGGCGGTCGACCGTGGGCTATGGTTTGGGGTCTGGGTCACAGACGGTCCACCGGGGTCTTCCGTCATGGATGACGGTTGACCGTCCCGGCGGTGACCGTTGGACTGGCCGAGGGTACGGTCCACCGTCTGAAGTAACGGTCGACCGTCCCGGTGACAGTCTCCTGTCCTTGGCTACGTTTTGATCCATTTTGCAACCTTAACACCTTGATTCTTTTTAGAACAATAATACAAACATTGATGAATATATTCCTAGTGATTCCTAGGCCAATATTTATAAGTTTTACGTAGTGAACGTTTTGATGGCTAACCTACAAACATGCATAGATTCTACGTAGGTTGCGTACGATATTGCTATGAATATAACGACATAGATTATAACTAAATGTTCTAGANTTTTGCAACCTTAACACCTTGATTCTTTTTAGAACAATAATACAAACATTGATGAATATATTCCTAGTGATTCCTAGGCCAATATTTATAAGTTTTACGTAGTGAACGTTTTGATGGCTAACCTACAAACATGCATAGATTCTACGTAGGTTGCGTACGATATTGCTATGAATATAACGACATAGATTATAACTAAATGTTCTAGAATTAGAGGGGACAACTACTCACCTTTAAATGATGGGGTTGATGAAACGGAAACGAGATGAACGTTTGACAATGAACGGACGAGTGTATGAACGAACGAACGAACGGCTTCTTGCGTGAACCTCTCCTCTTCTACCTTCTCGTACACTCACCGGAATTCCCCCTTGTCTACCTGCTGCTGGGTGGCCGAGAATGCAAGCGAAGGAGGATGAGGGTTGTGTGTGTGTGGGAGTTACAAATGTGGTGGAAAATGAAGAGGGGAAAGAGGAATATATTGAAAGCGAATTAAAGGGAGTTTAATAAGAAATAATTGAAATGAAATGATGGGGTTTAAGGGGGATGGAAGTGGCGTGGGAAATGAAGAGTTAAGTGGGGAATTAATTTCCTAAATTCTACTCCGTTATGTAAAATCTGACCTGAACGGTACACCGTTTTCCCCCCCAACGGATCCGAATTGAAAATCGTTTACGTTTTTGGAATCAGACAGTCAAAACAAATTTAATGACGTGTTCAAATAATATTTCTAAGAACTTTTATTTTCCCCAACTCTGGACCGGAACAGTAATTAATTAATTAAAACAACCAATTCTAATAGACCGGGTTGTAGGGCGTTAAAATATATATATATATATATATATATATATATATATATATATATATATATATATATATATATTGTTGAAACACGGGCTTGTCACGTTTTCGTACTAAAGCCGTGTTTGTTTTTATGACAGGTTTTGATAATGCCAAACCGCTGTGATCAAGACAAACATTGAATATACAAGGCAAAGAACGAAGATAAAGTACAAGAGCTAAAAGAGACCAAGAACAAAGACCGCAGTCTTTAGTATTGTTGAGTCGGTCATAATTGTGATCAAGACCGACCCAACCCTCACGCACGGGCTCTTTAGGCTAAAATATCTCATTGCATTTCTTACATCATAAAAATGCTTTTCAAACTTGTTTAAGTCATTAAAAACACTTGGTGTTCCCCCAAACCAAAAACCAAGCCATCCAGCGTGCGGCTTTCAGAAACCAGCGTTCGGCTTTCGGTTATCGGCGTTGGTTCTTGGGGTCCGAACCAACCAAGTGGTTTTCAGCATTTTATGTTTTTTTCACTCTTTGGCATGTTTAAACAGTTCTCCAACAAAAACACTTTGAAAACCACCTTTCGCTTTCGGTCGTTTGACAAAAACCACGCTAAACGGCATAAACTTGACTAGCCATGGTTTTCACTCAAATGATGTGATTTTTAAAGTTCCTCACTTGATTACTTAGCAAAACACATAAAATAAGTGTCTTAAACACTTGGTTTTTATTTTGGAGAACTTTGGATTTTTCGGTCGGTTTTCGCATCGGTTGGCTAGGCCGTGGTTAAGGCAAAAAACCATGGGTTTTTGGCTAACCACCTACCCAGCGATGGGAAGATCTTCCCATCGATGGGTAAGCAGTCCCTTAGCCAAACCAACTTCCAGAACCATGCCAAACAGCGATGGGAAGTTCTATCCATCGCTGTTAAAGCCTTGGTGCAACATTAACACAAGGCAGAACGACATTGCCCAGCGATGGGAAACCTATCCCATCGATGGGAACCCAGCGATGCTAAGGCTAAACCATCGATGGGAAGGCATGACCGTTGGAAGTCATTTAAGGTTGATTCTTTCCTTGTTTGGAAGTCAACCTCCCACCCAGCGATGGGAAGCTTGTACCCATCAATGGGTAGGTGACCGTTGGCTTCAAAACTGAAGGAAAATTGGCTTACCAGCGATGGGTAAGTTCCAAACATCGATGGGAAGCCAATATCCTGCAGATCCTTTTTTAATCAACCCCATAAATCAAGCAAATCACCCCTTAAATGCATTGGTCCGTTGGAGCCTCCTTTGGCACTATAAAAAGGGGTGTTTAGGTCTGCTTTTCACACCAATTCACTTCACATTATTCATATTATCATTGCATTCAAACAACATCATTTTCCATAGCTTTCTAGAGCCAATTTGTGTGAAGTTTGAGTTGTTCTTGAGCGTATTTAGTTTACTCATCATCTACTCTTAAAGAGAGTCTTGTTCTTGAGTGTTTAGTGTTGTATACACGTTAAGGGAAGCTTGTTTCCCTTGGTTGTACGAAGGAAAGGTGTTTTTCCTTCGGGTTGAAGTCTTGGAGTGCGGTATCTCCGAGCAAGTGTTGTTGAGGCTCGTGGGACTCGAGTTCTCAGGTTGTAACGCTTTGTTAAACACCCGTAAGCTTAACGGAAGTAGTGTAGCTCGAGAGAGTCTCTCGGGAGACTGGATTAGCCACACGTTGTGGTGAACCAGTATAAATCTTGGTGTGCTCCCTTTACGCTTTCTACGCTCTTTACCTTTCACGTTCTTAATTTTTTATTCTTGCGATTTCTACGATCAAACGCTATTCACCCCCCCTCTAGCGTTGGTCACTTATTCTAACATATATATATAT